AAGCCGATAATAATTAATAAAACCATCAAAATTGAAATTTGAAACTTTTTTCTAGAACATTTACCTCCTTTTCTTTAATAAATTCGAGCAGTTTCGTAAAGCCAGCGTGGCGATCTTTTCCTAGAGGGCATAGGTACAAAAGAAAACAAAAATACTAGGAAAACTTCTATGTCTGACTGCTTTTTCTGTTAAGTTATACACCTGATAAACACTCGCTATACTCCGCCATAGCTTTGTATAACAAGATAAATCACACTCATTTGGATTAGTTTTTACTAATGTTCAATTGGAGGACAGACTCCTCGTTGGCATCCATCAATATTTAAGCAAATAAATATTGCCGTGGGTCTCTCCAGTAGTAACTCACAGTGTCACACTAGGCTGTGCTTTGTGTGGCACGTTGTTGTTCTTACAACTTTTCTCTCATCCACGAAGATGTGGAATTGCTGTTGTTGGCACCGACCATCTACAAATTTATTTCCTCTCTTCCCAAGATATGCAAATTATAACGTCTGATAACATCTGCATCGGAGGCATAGATCAGTCAAAAACGTTTCTGGAAAAAGATTGGAGCCATTTTTCACGAAGGCGGGACCAAGGAAGTAATCATCTTAAATCCCCAATTTTCTTGCCAAATAAATCCCAAATTATAAAGATTTCGTTATTTTCACTGACCCGATGATGTATTTCAAATTTTTAATCTAAGATGGCCTGCGATGGTTATTTTACAAGTTTCATCATAGTTTAGATTCAAACGTGATTCTGGAGACTTCACCTGATTCAGGGTAGTATTTAAATGCAAGCAGAACATGACAAATGCTGATCACAAAATAGAATGATAAAAGTCTCTTCCTTATAAAAAATTAAGGTAAAACATTTCCCTAAAATTTCCATTTTAGATGGATAACGCTTTGTAAACAAGAAATGAGGAAACCTAAAGTAAATGAATATTTTGTAAAGTCGAAGGCCAAAACACATATTGACAATGATTGTTGATCATTGGATTATATCTACCGCCTACAGTCTGGGTGAACGTGTCTGACATATGGAAACCTCTGCTGCCCTAAATGGAAACCACGACAGATAGTTGATGATGACCAAATTGTTATTTTTAGGTGATGGTGCAGTACACTATGGCGCATCAAATCTAGATCTAAACATAACAGTAAACTAGAAGAACACCGCTCTTCTGACGTTACGTTATTATCTCAAGTGCATCCATAACTCGATATACGCACAGCTAAAAGCATGAGTATATTCTTTTATAGCAAACAGAGCGACAACAAGGATCTGCGCGAAGAAGCCTTTTATTGTGATAGAGTGCAATTGTGATTGTTTTGGTTTTAGTAAATTCCCAATTAACAACTGTGTACTTTATTCCCCAGGTTGAACAAATTTAAAAACAACAATAAAAGCGGAAATTTTACCTTTAAAGTTATTAATGACCAATTGGTGACTTTCTTTGTTCCCAGTGAATGTCTTTCGGTCAAAATTTGCTGCAGCTGGTCTTCCGACAAATTTGCGAAACGTGCATCTTGCGAGTTTTTTTCGGCTTTGTTTTTGTTTCTTGTTGGATGAGGACCTAAAAGGTCAATGCCAATAGAAAAATTGGGCAGTTCTTCGCTGGTTTCTTCCATATTTCAAAGTGAAGGAAAACTGCACTGCAGCTTAGCAGGAGGGAAAATCTGAAGCCAAAAAAACGCTCACGTCATCTTATTTACGTACGGGCATGCGTAAATAAAGATTTTGTTCATAGCAGCTCAATAGGACTTATATAGGGCAAGCACGCACGCTATGTTATAATAAAGCGTTTTCAAATGTGACTGATTCCTCGGGGTTTTCTCATTAAAGGTGAATACTGACGCAGTTGCTTCGCTTGTCTCTCGATCTGTGGACGTTTCGACAAATTTGTATGATAAACGTCCTAACTATCTTTCTCAGAATACTTACTTAGGGACAGAATTGACCTTAACGAAAAAATATCGATCACCGTCGTAAGCAGGATGTTTCAAATTGTCAGATTCATAAAAAATTGGTCCATACTTAGCGTGCGTAAATCGAGGTATGGATGTACGCGGGAAGTTTGGGAAACACGAGATACCTCTTACTAACCGAGTTCGAGGGCCGCTCTGCATGTTACGGACCGAGTTTTTTTCGCTCGGATTTATGGCCCAAGCACAAAGCGCGCAGGGACCATAAATCGAGCAGAAAAACCAGGTTAGTACTTACAGTTAGTACTTATGTTATAAACCAACAAAATTTCTGAGGTATCTCCATCTTGCATGGAAAGGAGACGTGAGATGGACGAAATCCGTACAGAGTGGTTAATGACTCTTCCACGTATTACCGAATTTTTGGCGGCCTTGGAATTAAATTTACCAAGTGACTCTTTCCTAAAAGACTTCTCGCGTACCAAACATCATCACCTGGTTTTTGCTGGTGTTTACTGCAACGAAAAACAGTTTATTTCGAGAACATTGACAATACTCTGACTCAGTTTGGGCGGTTTATGTTACTGATAAACCACCACAATGTATGCAAAAACGTGTATTTCACGCCACTCAATCAAACATTACTAAAAGGAGAAATTGATCCATCGAGACGTGCCGTATCTGTATAACATAAATATAACTACGCAAATTATGTATCGGAGATGATCCGGCATTAGAGCGAAATGACCCACTTTTCGCTATAAAACTTTATCGTGAAGGATCATGCAGCGGGATTCTGAATTGAATGACCTTATAATTGTGTTATTTACTTTATCAATACGGTACTTTATTATGCATTTCCACAACGTTCGCAGTCTTTCAGGATTTCTAGACAATCTATTTCCCTTTGAATAGGCCATTTTACAGTTGTGTACTTAGTTGCCAAGCCTTTGATTTGGAGTGAGGCTTGTTAACCTTGTTAACACTCCACCATCGTTTGATTAATATGTGCACGCTTTTTTTTTACAGCTGAATCTCTATCACAGTAACTTTGCGTTTCCTGTTATGCCAAAAATAAAATCAAAAACACAAAGTCAAAAGAACAGAATAGGTAACAAAGGCTAGGAAATCAACTGAAACAAATTTTTGTTTGGGATTCCTCGGTACTTCAGTGTTTCCCTTAAGTAAGAAAAATATTACAACCATGCATTATTGCATGCAGAGATTTTCTATACATTTCTCGCGATGAATAATAAAATATAGTATCGTAAAATATGTTTGCATCTCTCCTTTTTGCTTCAAAACTTTCTTCATTTTTATTTCGACTTTGGCAACAGTCTCGTAGATGGGTATTTGAGTAACTTCTTTAGTTGTCCATTGTATAACCTTCTGTAAAGATGCAATGACAAGGAAAACTAGCTTTTGAGAAAACCCACACAATCAGGAGACACCAAGACTCTTAGTTCTCTTCTTCTTTATTACATTTTCTATAGCTAATCAAATCGTATCTCTCTTTTACTCACTGTAGTGCACGCTCTAAAGTACCTTATTAGTGAACATGTGGGTAATGCGCTGACTGTCTTTGCAGAGTTTAACCCCTTGTTCAAAATTCTGACCCGGTCAAGTGTATTTTTTATACAAGTTCACTAAACACATCCAAACATGACCACCGACGAACGTCTTTGTTCAAGAAACAAGCCTCAAAAATAGAGTCAGCACAAACTATTGTTAATGTTAAAATTAGAAAAAGATCTTACGGGCCTCTGAACTTGATAAGACTCGCACAACGACTATACAATAATCAGCTAAAACGTTTACAAGTGAAATTTAGAAAACTAAAAATAAAGTACTCAACACGACCAGTTTAGAGACAAAAATTCAAGTTCGAGTAATTGCACAACCAGAGGAGAAAGACAACAGTGAAACCTATCGTAAGGGGGTAAGACTGGCACAATCTTTGAATGCTAACCTTAAAAAACCATGAATCGTAAGAACACTTCACAACACTCTCTTTTTCCATAGAGGCCTTTTCAAAGGGAGGTCGCATCCAAAATCTCCCTGTATTTACTTATCACTACTCAACAATTTAGTCTACAAGAGCAGCTTTCAGAACATAGCAATCCGGCGACAACTAAGAAGGCAATGACGTTCTGTGTACCGCAAAGAAATTAACTAAACCGGTACCTTTGGCTAGTGTGTTTGGGGCTCTAAAATGCACAACTAAATGAGAAATAAAACCTATATTTTTATCTCCAAAATTACACTTAAGTAGAGCTAAAAGCCTTGATGACTACTTCAGCAAGAAACAACAACAAGCTCATACTAGAAAAACCAAATATGCCTTTGTTCCAGAGGTACATCAGCGAAGGTTTGCGGACACATTTACTGGTTATATTGTTGCTGCCATCCTCGGAAAAGTAATATTCCCATCACAAATCTCCTTCCAAAACAGCTAATTATAAACTGAAATAGTTTGTTAAATTATTATCGCGAAAACGTTATGCAAATACACTTAATTAATGCTACCCGCAGCACTGAAGAAACATGTCAATGTTTCCTTTTTGACCAATACCCCCATGGGGGTTTCATGACCATTTCAATCAAATTGGAAAACAGACGTTGTAAACAATCATGTAGTGTTTAAAAATCCCAACCAGTAGGGGGCACACCAGTTGGCTGTATACAAAGCGAGTCAAAGAATCGACCCGAGGGAAAAACGAAACAAATCTAGCGAGTAATAAGGTAGAGGGCTTTCACCCGTGACCACTAGATCACTAGTTCAGCACCCTCACCACACTGCCTCAAACATCGAAGAAGCAATGCTAGTATACTTCTTCCTATAGTTCACTCTGCAACGGATCCCCCCTTTTATTCTTACCAGCCGATAGAACGGTTATTGTCGAAATTAGTTGCAATTATCAATTTCTAATGAAATTACTCGGTTTACTACAGTAACTTTTATGAAACCGCATAAAGGTACTTGTTTGTATTATATTATATTATATTATATTATTTTATACGCAAATCCGTTTTAAGCGAGTTTCTATCTTACAGTTACCAAATTGGTAATTATATTCTTGATTCATTCTGGTTTCCAGGTGGTAAGACGACATCTGATGTTTTGATGGTGAGAATTGAAGGCAACTGCCTGCTTTTTCTACTGACGATCTTAGTAAATGCCGTATTTATCTTGGTGCTCAGAAAAATGTACAGCCATGGGTTAACGGCACTGTTGGCGTGTCCAAACCAAAAACACACAAAGCTGACAATGGGTTGTATATGTAGGTAAGCCTTAGATGCGTGAATGACTGTCATCACGTGGACCACTTGTGGTGGGAGCCAACAAAGGGCAAAGGCACAGGTAACGATAATGAGCATCCGAACCACTCTTCTCTTGGAGGTTTCCAGTTGCGCTCGATTTCCTCTCAAAGTATTCACTCCAGGTGCAACATGGAACCATAAATTCCATGCAGTTATGGTATACAGGAAAGAAATAACGGCCAAGGGGATGAGATAGTTGACGACGAAAAGGAGGAGGTATATTCCTCGAAGAGCCCTATCTTGATCACCCAAGATGTAAACAGATAATATGCAATAGGAAGAATTATTGTAGTCCTCCACAGTTTGAATAACAAGGAAAATTGACATGGAGACCAGTGAGCCGATCCAAATAAATGGAACGGTTAGTTTAGGCTTTCGAAACCAAAGATGGCGGCGGAGGGGATGAACGATGGCATAGTACCTGTCGATCGCCATGAACGTCAGGCAGAGGATGGATGCTGTTAAAGTGACATAGGCAGTGTATACAACACCTTTGCACATGACTTTTCCAAATACTCCCGGGATCATCCACAAACCGTCTGTATATATTGTGGAAATCGACCAGGGCATCACTACCAAGGTTACAAGCAAATCAGCGATAGCCATGTTGACAAACATAAAGCTTGTCAGTGATCTCACTTCGGGCTTCTTCCACACGATGTAGACGAGGAAACTATTCCCTGCAAACGCTACGAGCATCGTGATGGCGTAGAGGACTGTGATAACAATCCACTCGGTATCTGGTTTCATCTTTAGTTCCCTGTTTTTTCTGTTGCTAAAGTTTAATAGGATAAGACTGTTATTACTGAATAAAAAGTCAGTAAAGGGAACACCCTTGGCCCCCTAAAATCTTATTCAATACCAACCTGGGGTGTGGTGAGAGGAATCGATTGTCAACTCAAAGGAAGCAAAACATTTTCAAAGTAAAAATTTTTTTCAAAACTAAGTTCACTTTGGTTGAGTCGATGATATTTCAGGACGTCACTGAAGCTGTGAACAGGAACGGAAATACTGGAAACAGGAAAAGGAATGCAGCAGGACATTTTGATTTTCTCCATAAATAACCCTAGTGAAAAAATCTTAGGGTGCGTTCCTTTGGGAGAATCCGGATCAGGATTTCTGATCTGCGGCGTTCCTTTTGAGCAAATCCATTTTTAGATCAGTGATCTATCAAATCCACTCTGGACAAGGATTCATCGGTTCACTGATCTGCGCGATCTAAATACGGATCATTGGATCACTGATCCAACGCATTCCTTTGGGTGACGGATCTGACATCAATCATTTTCAAACAAGTAGGTACCTCATGTTGACCGGAAAGATTATTAACAGTCGCTCCACAAATTCTGCGATAAAAACGAACTAAAATCGATTTTGTAATGTTAAATCGATCGGCCATTGATCGCAGGCATTCAGGGTTCCCAAGTATCCATATCGTAATCAATATTTGCTTCTGTTTTAATTCCATCGTTTGAGTTTACCGTGAAAAAATGTGTTTCTAATGAATAGTGCTTGCTAAAAGCCCATGCAGTAAGACGAGCCATTCAGGGAAGAGCTCAATAACCCACGTGCATACATAAGTCTTAAAATAGCGCACATTTTGGAATTCTATTAGAGCTCGTCTAAAACCCCGTTCCTTGCATGCATCGTGATCTGTGTGATCTTAGATCACAAATCCAATAAACAATAAGATTAACTCAAAAAGGAGACTTTGTACTTTCTCGCGAGTCTTAAGGCAGGTTCTCCGTATTTTAAAACTTATTTTAGTAAGTAATTAGCCACGTGGTCTCACGAACAAGATGACAAACCAAAGAGAAAGTTACCTTCGGTGGAATGAACAATTTTAAAGAAAGAAAATGTAGGAAAGTGAAGACAATCTAGGGAAATAGCGAAATTACGTTCTACGTATGTCATTTTACTTCTTTGTGAATTTGTCGGTTTGTTCTTGATCATGAGCAGCTGTGAATCAATGACAGACCTTCAGTGGGCTCTATTAGTTCGACAAAAAGTAATGCACTGTGCAAATAACATGCAATTAAGTTTGATAAAAAAAATGATAATTTAACTTTAAGTCAATGGCGTCCTGCAACGCAAGGTTTTTTATTTAGAACTTTACGATGGTTTATCGTAACAATGCACAGAAAGTGGAGACAAATTCCTCCAAAATTTGTTTCCTTACACTGTGTTTTCATAGCCTGCATAATCATGGGAAAGCACACGTCACATTTCGGATCACTTTAATGTCAAAATTCCGTTATGGAACCGTCGCCTTCAAATCAATTTTATTTTTACCTCATAGCCCTCCTATAGAAGTTGAATTACATGCAAATGATCCCACGTATTTTTGACAGGTCCATGATAATAAAATAATGAGACGGTTGCAGGTTCACATTTACTAACCATTTAAGTCGAGGAATACAGCCTCTTTTTTTTAGTTTTTGTTGAGATCATGTCGCACTGATATCAAAAGAAGCAGCCAGAATAAAAGTTTTTTGCATGGCGCTATACAATAAGTATAGGAAATGCTTTTTTAAAAAATTATCCTCAAAACCAGCATCTGCGAAATAATTTGACGCTGAACAGCTAGGACAACCCAATTATTTATCTCCAACTTTTTTGAAGACAAAAACGTACGGAAGGTTTCTTTGCTTTTTGTTCAGGCGCAAAAGAGAAAACTTGGCGAGAACAAAAGCTAATTCAATAAAACAAAAATTCGCATGAACACTCTTTCGTTCAGATGCAAATTGACATAGGATCTTTAGCATAATAATCTATCTTACAAGAGACACTAAATTTTAACAAGATATTGCTCCAGTTTGGGCCTTCGCCGCTAGTACTTGTATGGTTGAGTAAGTGTTGGAATAAACTTGGAACATAAGCACAAGCTCCGCTTAACAAAGGCGAAATATTGCAAGTCTCCGTAGTTAGAGCGGCACGTGAATCGTTTTATTGAATGTAGGATTTGTATGATTGAGGAATCATTGGGGTACCAAGAAGTAGACCTCTTCACAAGAAAATCCGGCCGAGAAAATTACCATATTTCAACTATCGTCAGCGACATTTTAATTTCCACAAAAAAGATAAGCTCATGGTATGATCAAATTACATCAGACGAATGAAGCTTACATCACTTAAAATGGGTTTAAAATAGCATAAAATGTGGCCGTGCAGTGTTCAAATGACACAGATTTATCAACACAGGTAACAAAACGACTCTCACGAAAACAGACAAAACCGCGCAAACCATGCACAGGGCAGCGATCTCTAGCCATTTGGTCGTTAGCTGAGACGACAGACATTTTCATTTAAGATACTTAAAAAGAAATTCATTGGAAATAATAGATAGTGACCTACCTAGAGTATCTTGACAATAGACAACCAACAGCAGTCCACCGTCGATGGTGTAGCAAAGATCATTCGTAATTCTGTCGCGACTTATGACTCATCCGAGAAAGAATTTTGATTTTATGATTAGATCTCAGACTCTTCACGGGCATCTGCAATTTATATGTGATGGATCTGATAGAAAACAAGACAACGCGTGAGAAGACATTTTAAGCTCGAGTGGAGTGACAACTGTAAAAAGTCCGCCTCTCTGCGCAAGCGCTAGACAGTAATTGGTAAAAGAGACGGATCCTAGTGAATTGAAGTCCAGACTTTGTACGAGCTTTGACCAAACACAAACAATCACGTCCACTCTGACTCGATTTGTTATTACACTCTATAATAAATTTCCTTTGTAAGCAAAGCTTGAATTTTTGACAATAGCAAGTTAGCTGAGTGGAGTCTGCGGTGAAGAAAAGAGATATAAGCGATCCTCGCAGCTATGAACACAACTGAACCGGTAGTTGAGAAATGAGACCTGAAAAAAATTAAGGCCCGTAGGGATTTGAACCCCTGACCCCTGCGATACAGGTGCAGCGCTCTACCAACTGAGCTAACAAGCCAACTGGGAGCTGGTCATTTCTTCACCGCAGTGCACATATAAGGTTTTTCATATATTTCCAGTCATTCTCCAACCCTTGGAAGGTTTATTTGGATCCAACATTATGACCAGCTATTATGACCGTAGTGATTACCTGAAACAACTGAAATTTGAAATTTTTTGCTAAAACATTTGCCTCCTTTTCTTTCATAAATTCGACCAGTTTCGTAAAGCCAACGAGGCGATCTTTTCCTAGAGGGCATAGGTGCAAAGGGAAACAAAAATACGAGAAAGACTTCCATGTCTGACTGCTTCTGTTAAGTTATACACCTGATAAACACTCGCTACGTCTGCCATAACTTTGTTGTTGGCACTGACCATCAACAAATTTATTTCCTCTTTTCCCAAGATATGCAAATTATAACGTCTGATAACATCTGCATTGGATGCATAAATCAAGTCTCTGAAAAGTCATTTTTGTTATCAAACGGCAAGTGATGGAAAATGACGAAAAGTAATATCTTGAGAAAGAAATATTTCTAGATGAAAACATCTTCTGCCTTAAACAATCTCCCGATTCAGGACACTTTCGACGCGCTGATGAGGCAGCATTGACGGGATGGTTGTAATTATCACACATTTACAATCCTAAATAAATAAGTGAAAATTACCAATATCAAATGTGTCTTCCACTCATGATGTTTTCACAAACCTGTATTTAATTTCTCTTGCACTTTTTAAATGTTTCTTACTTCAAAAAGAGAGGCCGTCCAGTGAATCCACGATGCGTGAAGATTCAAGCATGGTGATCGCTGTGTAAAATTCGACCAAAACACCTTGATAAAATCTTTCTGTCAAATATTTACATTTTCAATTTCGAATTACGTCAATCCAAATTGTTTTATTTTTAATCTTTTTTCCTATTTTGTTAAGATTGCGCTGTAGCTTTCCGTACCCTCGTTTTGTTATACAAATTACTGAAAATATGTTTACTATTTTCTATGCAGCTATTTTTGCGTGCAGAATGCCTACGCCATCACTATGGATATTTTTAAAAGACTTATCAGTTTTCAAAATAACTGAAAAATGTTCAATTTGTTATCATTTTTTTTTATTTCGTATGTATTGCTTGGTAACACGGTCTTCGCTAAGACTCTGTAGTGATCAGAATTTTGGAAAATATGTTTACATGGTTAATTTATGATTGGAGTGGATCACAGTGGGTGTCTCATGTAGCTTTTCCGATCTGCCTTTTCGAATCCAATTGACGAAACTCCCATATCTTGTCTCTTCATTCATATATAATATTTACAGTCCTGGATCTTAAATTGCCAATTCCTTGCCAAATAAATCCCAAATGCAGAGAGCCATTTTTCGAAAATTTCGTTATTTTCACTGACCCGAAGACGTATTTCAAATTTTCAATCTAAGATAGTTCCAAGTTCCATTAAGGAAGACATCCCAGTTTAGATTCAAACGTGATTCTGGAGACTACACCTGATTCAGGGTAGTATTTAAATGTAAGCTGAACATGACAAGTGCTGATCACAGAAAAGAATAATAAAAGTCTCTTCCTCATAAAAAATTAAAGTAAAACATACCCCGAAAATCTCCATTTTAGATGGATAACGCTTTCCTGGTGTAAACAAGAAATTAGAAAACCCAAACTAAATGAAGAGAAGGAAAACTGCACCGCAGCTTAACAGGACGGAAACTCTGAAGTCAGGTAAAAAAAATGCTCACGTCATCTTATTTACACACAGGCGTGCGAAAATGAAGAAATGTAAAATCGTTTCCGTGTTTACATAGCCTGATGTAAACACGCGGGAGGTTGGGAGAACACGTCATAAGCAGCTTATCGAGTGTTTTCCCAACCTCCCAAGTGTTTACATCGAGCTATGTAAGCACGGAAATGTAGTACATTTCTTTTATAAAATAACTAGTGTTGATAACAGTAAAGAATAATAAAAGTCTCTTCCTCATAAAAAATTAGAGAAAAACATTCCCCGAAAATTTACATTTTAGATGGATACCGCTTTCCTGGTGTAAACGAGAAATTAGAAAACCCAAATTAAATAAATATTTGTGAAGTCGAACGCCAAAACACATATTGACAATGATTGTTGATCATTGGACAATATCTTCTGCATACAGTCTGGATGAACGTGTCTGACATATGGAAAACTCTGCTGCCCTAAATGGAGACCATGACAGTTCTAATTGATGAATACCAAATTGTTATTTTTAGGTAATGGTGCAGTACATTATAGCGTATCAAATCTAGGTTAAAAAAAAATAACAGTAAACTAGAAGAACGCGGGCCTTCTGACGTTACGTTATTATCTCAAGTACAGCCATAACTCGATATACGCACAAAAGCATGAGCAAATTCTTCTATAACAAACAGAGCGACAACAAGGATCTGCGTGAAGAAGCCTTTTTGCAATTGTGACTGTTTTGGTTTTAGTAAATTGCCAATTAACAACCTTATTCTTTAGGTTGAACAAATTTAAAAACAACAATGATCAATTGGTGACTTCTTTTGTACCCAGTGAATGTCTTTCGGCCAAAAGTTGCTGCAGCTCGTCTTCCGAAAAATTTGCGAAACGCGCAACTTGCGAGTTTCTTTCGGCTTTACTTTTGTTGCTTGTTGGATAAGGACCTAGAAGGTCGATGCCGATAAAAAAATTGGGCAGTTCTTCGCTGGTTTCTTCCATATTTCAAAGAGAAGGAAAATTGCACTGCAGCTTAACAGGACGGAAACTCTGAAGCCAGGTAAAAAAATGTTCACGTCATCTTATTTACACACGAGCGTACGTAAGTAAAGATTTTGTTCATAGCAGGTCAATAGGACTTACATAGGGCAAGCACGCGCGCTATCTTGTAATAAAGAACTGGTCCATGCTTAGCGTGCGTAAATCGAGGTATGGATGTACGCGGGAAGTTTGGAGAGCACGAGATACCTCTTACTAACCGAGTTCGAGGGCCCCTCTGCATGTTACGGACCGAGTGTTTTTCGCTCGGATTTATGACCCAAGCACAAAGCGCGCAGGAGCCATAAATCGAGCAGAAAAAACCAGGCTAGAAATTAAAGTTAGTACTTGTGATATAAACCAACAAAATTTTCTAAGGTATCTGCATCTTGGATTGAAAAGAGACGTGAGATGGACGAAATCCGTACAGAGTGGTTAATGACTCTGCCACGTATTCCCGAATTTTTGGCGGCCTTGGAAATAAATTTGCCAAATGGTTCTTTCCTAAAGGACTTCTCATGTACCAAACATCATCACCTGGTTTTTGCTGGTGTTTACTGCAACGAAAAACGGTTTAATTCGAGAACAGTGACAATACTCTAACTCAGTTTGGGCGGTTTATGTTACTGATATACCACCAAAATGTATGCAAAAACGTGTATTTCACGCCACTCAACCAAACATTACTAAAGGGAGAAATTGATCCATCAAGAAGTGCAGTATCTCTATAGCATAAATATAAGTACGCAAATTATGATTGGAGATGATCCGGCATCAGAGCGAAATGACCCACTATTCGCTATAAAACTTTATCGTGAAGGATCATGCAGCGGGATGCTGAATTGAATGACCTAATAACTGTGTTATTTACTTTATCATTGGGTACTTTAATTTGCATCTCCACAACGTTCGCAGTCTTTCAGGATTTCTAGACAATCTATTTCCCTTTGAATAGGCCATTTTACAGTTGTGTACTTAGTTGCCAAGCCTTTGATTTGAAGTGAGGCTGAAGGTGACCTTGTTAACACTCCACCATCATTTGATTAATATGTGCACGCTTTTTTTTTACAGCTGAATCTCTATCACAGTAACTTTGCGTTTCCTGTTATATCAAAAATACAATCAAAAACACAAAGTCAAAGGAACAAAATAGGGAACAAAGGCTAGGAAATCAACTGAAATAATTTTTTGTTTGCAATTCTTCGGTACTTCAGTGTTTCCATTAGCCTTTTCGCATCCAAGATCTCATTAGTAATTCTCCCTGCCGTTTGCGAAACAACTCTTATAATGTTAGCTCTGAGAATTTGGTATTGGATCAACTAATAATCCCTTAGCTGATACATTTTTTCTCATCACTTGCCTGTTTGATATTGTATCGATTTGGTAAGGAGAAATTCTGTCTTGGTCACTTGGAGTAAAAGGGTTAAGTAAGAAAGATAGTAGAACCATGCATCATTGCATGCAGGGATTTTCTATACATTTCTCGCGATGAATTATAAAAATTTAGTATCGTAAACAATGTAAAAATATGCTTGCGTCTCTTCTTTTTGCTTCAAAATTTTCTTCCTTTTTATTTCGACTTTGGCAACAGTCTCGTATTTGGGTGTCCGAGTAACTTCGTTAGTTGTCCATTGTATAACCTTCTTTAAGGTTCAATGACAGGGAAAACTAGCTTCTGAGTAGACCCACACTAACAGGAGGCACCAAGACTCCTGGTTGTCTTCTTCTTTATTACATTTTCTACAGCTAACCAAATTTTCTCTCTCTTTTATTCACTATAGTGCACGCTCTAAAGTACCTTATTAGTGAACATGTGGGTAATGCGCTGACTGTCTCTACAGAGTTTAAGCTCTTATTCAAAATTCTGACCCGGTCAAATGTATTTTTTATACAAGTGCACTAAACACATCCAAACATGACCACCGACGAACGTCTTTGTTCGAGAAACAAGCCTCAAAAATAGAGTCAGCACAAACTATTGTTAATGTTAAAATTACGAGTTCGACCTTGCAGGCTTCGGAAAGACTCGCACAACGACTATAAAATAATCAGCTACAACTTACACTAGTGAAATTTAGAAAACTAAAATAAAGTACTCAACACGACCAGTTTAGAAACAAAATTTCAAGTTCGAGTAATTGCACAACCAGAGGAGAAAGACAACAATGGAACCTATCTTAAGGAGGTAGGACTGGCACAATCTTTGCATGCTAACCTTAAAAAACCTTGCATCGTAATAGCACTTCACAACACTCCCTTTTTCCATAGAGGCCTTTTCAAAGGGAGGTCGCATCCAAAATCTCCCTGCATTTACTTATCAGTACTAAACAATTTAATCTCCAAGAGCGGCTTTCAGAACATAGCAATCAGGCGGGAACTAAGAATGGAATGACGTTCTGTGTATCGCAAAGAAATTAACTTAACCGGTACCTTTGGCTTGTTTGGGGCTCTAAAATGCACAACTAAATGAGACATAAAACCTATATTTAGCTCTCCAAGATTACACTTAATTAGACCTAAAAGCGTTGATGACTCACTGCACGAAAAAATGGATTTACAACAACTGCAAAATCAATGCAAATATGAAGTAAATACCACATTTGATCAAATTTGTTTATATTTGCCCCGAGGCAAATTCCATCGTTGGATAATATTTGCACGCGAAGCAAAGATGGTAAATACCGCATTTACTCAATCTTTACAGTCCAAAGCAAATGAGAAGAAAAAATGCACATTTGCATCAGATTTAACATGAACTAAAAATGTGGTAAATAGATAAATCTACCGCACCGAAACATGAATTTACAATTGTAGCAAACATTCCGCTGCACGTCGTTTTGATTACATTTACCCGCGATGCAAACCCCATTTTTGCATCACATTTGTTTGTAAAGCATAGGCGGTCGACAATTTATATTTACCAAGTAGCAAATACTACGCAAACGTTATATTTGTACGGTAATTACATTTGAAGCAAAGATGGTGAAAAATATCGTTCACTACGTATTTGCGCCGAGTGGCAAATGTGACAAGAAATCCACATTTGACTACTTTACAGGGGCAGTAAATGCTAGGAAAAAG